GGATTCTTACGTGGGTTTTTCACTGACTCAGCTCATAAGTGCACTCCATTTACATCGACCAGAATGAATCAAATGGCCCTACCCAACTTCTGCTGGCAGGGAGGAGGAAGTGTTATAGGCAGATAGGTGTTACATTTTTTCCCAGCACCTACGGAAGTACTTAGAGCAGAGTAGAATCTCAAAGCGCAGAGTTGTAAAGATTGGATATGCCCGACATATCCAATATGCATGACATGTAATAAGTACTGAATACATATGTATGCATTGTGGTTACTATTGTTTTTGTTCCTTTTGGATTATAGAAGGAAGAGAGAGAGGAAAAGAAGAAGGGAGATTGGATAAAGAAAGAACGGGGGACAGAATTAAGGACAGAAAAAGGGTATTGATATGAAGAACTCTCCAATCATGTTTCTTAGTAAGAAAATTAAAAGTAAGAAAATAGATTCCTAGAAATGGGTGTACAAGAGCTTAACCCTAAATTGAATGAGGGCAGGGGAAGGGCAAGGATGGGATTGCGAGGATTATATAGGGGGAGATGCAAGAAGAGAGAATAAGATTGTGCAGGACAGAAAGAGTGTTGTTACCCCTGCACCCTGACCCCTGTCCATGAATAGAGACTGCAGTGGCCTCAAAACTTGTCTCCTGAGCTGAAGACCAAACCCCAGCTTCATAGGTTGGCCCTGCTGACCAGGGCCAGTGGGCTGTGGGTCCTTCCATCAAGTGACCTTGGCTGGATATCTCCATGGCAACAGCTTACATCCCAAACCGTTCTTCCTGTGTGGGAGGAAACATTTCACAAGTGGGGGAAGGCAGAATTTAACAGCGTTTTTTTGTTTTGCTTTTTCTCTTTTGACCCTTCTCCTCTGGCAAATTGTATCCTTTTTCTGAATATTGCAGTCTCCTGAGGAAACTGCCACAGAAGAGGATGTTTCTGCGACTTTATTTGCAAATGCATGTCCAGGACACATTCTCTAAAGTAGAAGCCTGAGTCTGCCTTTCCTTTCATGTTTCTCAGGGCATGTCACCATTCTTTTCATGAATTGCTCCCCGAAGAGGAAGGTCAGCATGTTGTCCTCATGTTGAAAGAGAGAGGTCCACGGCCCGCCTGGGCAACTTGGCAAGACCTCATCTCTACAATAAATCAAAAAATTAGCCGGGCGTGGTAGCTCGCCTGTAGTTCCAGCTACTTGGAAGGCTGAGGCGGAAGGATCGCCGGAGCCCAGCAAGTCGAGGCTGCGGTGGCCGGGAGCAGCCACTGCACTCCAGTCTGGGTGACAGAGTGTGACTCCAACTAAAAAGAAAAAGAAAAAAGAAAAAAAAGAAAGAGAGAGGTCAGAGAGGCTAGGGAGCTTCCCCAGGACTACAGAGCAATGCAGTAACAGAGTTAGGCTAAAAAGCCAGACAAAACAGGGCTGAGCATCCATCATTCTCTATGTATGTCCTGCCAGCCTGAGTCACCATCCTGGTCGACTGGATGACATGTCTCCCTCCAGCCTTAGACCTTGCCTCTAGCCCCATAAGTCAAGATATGTCCTATGACTTTCCTCAGCACAGTGTCCGGACTTTAAGGTAAGGGTATGAAGCAAATGTATTCTCTGTTTAAACCTGGAGTCTAAAGTACATTTTAAGCCCAGTAATCTGTGTGTTCCACGATGTCTAGGGTCAGAGCAGCATTTTACAGGATGATAAATGACCCTTCTTCAGCTGAGCCCTGAAAGTGCGTGCCTGACCACAAAACCCTCCAATCACAGCTCTGAAATGCACCGTGGGGTCCACTTTCCAACACAAATCACGAGCCAAGAGCACTCATTCCTTGGCCTGTTTTCAGCCTTTCCCGGTAGTCTGGATCCCATGATTCTGTCCGTGAAAGAAATCTTTTTCTCTGTAGCATCCCTGCCTGACTCTGACGTACAAAGGTGTAATTAGAACAACATGGAACAAGCAGGAGGATCCATTTACCTCATCCCTAACATTTAAGTGCTTTTGAAATATGTTTCTAATATCTTAGGTGCAAAGGGCCAAATTTCCTTCTCAGTTTTTCACATGCATGAGTAAATCCACACAGACTAAACCCCTTGGGCCTTCGGTTCTACTTAGAAGTTCTTTTTTTGTTGTTTTTAAAAGAAAACAAATATTCCATTAAAACGACAAAGTGTACTCTGCATATTTTTAGGACAATTAGAGTTTAGAATTCCCTCTTCTTCCGCCCATGGTGGAAAAAAAAGTGTTGCTTAACTATTTCCTTACCAAAAATGACGTGAAGTTGGGGTACATTGAAGGGCTTTCTTATCTTTTAAAATAATCTCATCTTACATTGTCCAAGAACCAACTGGTAGATCAGGATCTTTGATATTATTTGAAAAGGATCCAAGCTCCCCTGTACCATTGCCAGGTAAATTCTTTAGGTAGACAGTTATTTGTGAACCTAATGGAAATGTTTACCTGAAACAGAAAAGCCAAGCTCATAGGAAACAGAGACACTTAAAAGTAAAAACATTCCATACCTTTTACTTGATTCAAAAATAGATCGTGGGTTTTGGGCATTTTTCTTAAGCACTTTTGACCATGTAAATGAAATCATAAAAGAGAGGCTACAACAGGCTGGTTACATCTCAGTTTGTGGGCAAGCGATTCAGCAAGACCAGGTAGGAAAAGTCTGGAAATCAGTACCCCTCAGGAAGAGACTGGGAGAGGAAAGAGAGCCAGTCCCAACTCATGCACTATGTGCTTCAGAGTGTTTGTGTTGCTGTATACACAGCAACTCCCTGCCTATTAGCCTGTGCTGCTGGGGCCACACGTGTGGATAATATTTGCTGAGCCAACATGCAAATCAAACATTTTCTTGCAGCCGAATTTGGAATAACATCTTAGCAGCAGTTGCCATGTCACTACATGTTCAAGTCACCAAATTTAAAAAGACAAGCTGATGTAAGATTGTCTGTAGCGTGTTTTTCACTCATTTTGACAAAGCATGTCAAAGGATGAAAAACCAAACCTCGCCCACCCCATGGTTCAGGCAGAAATAAGATATGGCTTCAGGAGAGTCTAACTTGGAAGATGAGTAACATCCAGAGTGAGCTTGGAGAATGTGTCTTTGATGCCTTAGAAGTGATGAATTGTATTGAAGAATCAAAGAACTCATGACTTCCCAAGGGAAAAAAAAAGTGTTTATTTATTTAAATAAAAAATATTGTGAAAATTACAAACTGTTAAATACAAAAGGCCATTCTATACAACCAATAGAATAAGAAGGAAGTATATACATCACTTTTTAATAGGTGCAGATAGACTTGCACCAAACTTCAGGATTAAGCAATGGAAAATGTGACAAGGCACATGTCCATCGCAGTGAAGTTTCAGAATTCAAGTGATTCCAGGCAAGGGGCCAAACTGAACTTGGCTTCTTTCAACTTACACAGCCCCCTTTGGAGTAAATCCACACTGAATTTTAAAGTGAACAGAGGGCCCTTTTCCCCCAAACATAGATTTTCTCTAGCTCTGTGTCCAAGCAGACTGATAAACCCGCCCTTACACTGTTAACCCTTCCATGGGAACAGTGATTATTGCTGTGTCTCCAATCCAGACAGAGTGTGTTTTTCTTAAAAAACAAAAAACAAACAAACAAAAAAACTAATAGAATAAAATGTGACCTTTCACTTCCTCCTTTTCTTCAAGGACCCAACATATCTGCTACAAAGCTACTGACCACAGGACTACATGGAGACACTGACAAGCATGCGTGGGCGTTTAGGTTTTGGACTTCTCTTTTTCTTAGATGGGAGTGTTAACATCACACCCTCCAGAGAACTTTGCTGAGAAGAATGTGGTATCTGCTTCCTTGGTTCACTTCTGGGAAAACCACAGCAGGGGTTGGTTGCTGGCTCATCTTACATTCCCCAATTACATGAGTTCTGAGCCTCCAACTGCTCCTTTAAGTCAGCAGATCCTTTTTCAGACTAACTGGCCAAAGGGGAAATATTTGGTCCAAGCTTCCTCACAGCCGGCCATGGAGGATTTATCACAGAGTCCTGAAATCTAAAGACATCCTCCCAGTCCCCTGGGGATGGAGATCAGCAGCAGTCTCATGAAGGCAGCAAGCCTCTGGATGACATGCCCAGGACCACACAGCAAATGAGTGTCAGGGTTCAGGAGCAGGAAGCACAAAATTTGGACCCCCGCTACATGCAATCTCCACCTGAGTGTGCCCTTCTAAGTCTCAGCTACATAACAAAATGTCCTCTCCCAGCTCAGAAAACTAGGCTGGAAAACGGAGCAGCAGCAGAGTTAACGACTTGGCCTTGTTCAACCTCACCATTACCCCTTCTGGAAAGATCAGGAAGAGTTCTTGAACCACTGTGCAGAGTGCAGGTTAGATTCTGGGGAAGATCTTCTGATCAAGAGAATGCCATGCCAGCATTCAGTGCTGCAAGGTCACAGGTCAGGGGGTTCAAGGTCATAGGTGAGACAGAAGGTCAAACAGCAGATCATCTCTTACAGTCCCAGCCAATAATAAAAAATTTAAAAGTTGGTATTTTTGTTTTTGTTTTTTTCTTGAGGTGTGCAAGTGGGCGGGGTTCAGAGCTCCAGCTTTCTCCCATCAAAAATTCTCATCGAAAGCAAATATCCCCCCTGTCATCCAAAAGAAGCTATAACTCGCTGTGAACTAAGGCACAGGTACACAGGAGAGATACTCACAGCCAATCAGATCTAGAAGGACAAAGCTCTAGGCAAATTAGCAAGTCACAACTAGTCCCCCAGCACGTCCTAGGTGTTTGGCAGCCCTGGGAACAGGCCCACGCTGCAGGAGTCACCCAGGCCATCCGGTGAGAAAATGACAAGCACATCCTCCAGCCGAATTCTGAACAGGAGCCCCCGCACCCAGGCCCCAAAGTAAACGGACACACTGCACGGCCTCGGGGCTGTTCCAGCGGCGGGTCCACACCGCAGACGGTGGGCCGGGGACCCCTCGGGGCTGCTGGCTCCCCTGAGCCTCGTCCTCCACCCCACCCCACTCGGGGCCTCGCCGAGGGTCTCTTCAAAGTGGCAGCCGCCCTGCCAAAGTGAAAGCAGACGCTTGGCAAACGTCTTTCCTCTCTCTAAGGGTGCCGGCTGACGGAGCCGCCTCCGGGAGCCCCGGGGGTGCTAGGAATTCTGGTGGATGTTCTCCGAGGACCCCTCGCTGCTCTCGTTGAGGGGCGTCTCGGAAGTCTCCCCCAGCTCGTCGTCCGCCCCCTCCTCCTGGATGGTGAGGTGCACGTCCGGGGAGGAGGACTCGGAGCTCACGCTGTCCCCCTCCATGGAGCAGAGGGTGCAGGACAGCGCGGGCGCCACGCTCTCCTGCAGCATGTTCAGCATCATGGGCACCTGCACGGACCTCAGGCCCGACCCCGTGGGCAGCGGCTTCATGGCCTCCCCCCACAGCCGCTCCTCGTCCTTGTACAGCAGCAGGAGGCTGGACTTCTTCTCCCGCCTCTTGGACTTCATGTAGCCCAGCATGATTCCAATCAGGAAAACGCCGTAGAAGGACATGACCACCAGGATGTAGAAGTACTCGTTGCCGTGGCCGCCGCCGCCGGGCCTGTGGGACTCCAGGGGGCTGCTGGAGGCGGCGGTGCCCGGGTGCGTGCTGTTCAGAGGCTCCATGGTCAGCATCGAAGCCCGCGTCTGGGGAGAAAGTCGCAGGTGAGGGCTCTCCCACGGGTCCGCGGGACAGGCAGGGGGGCGAGCACGAGGGCTGAGGGATTGCAAGACCAAAAAAAGCTTTAACATGCGCGAGAGAAAGAGCGTCAGAGATCTCACCCAACAGCTCCCAGGGGTGAGTTACCAGGGCTTGGAGCGTGTGGGGAGAAGCCGGAGGTGGGGGCAGGGGGCTGGGTTGGGGGAAATAAAGACCCTCAGTTTTTAGTGTACACGTGTCTGTCCTATTTACATTTAACAGAGTAAGCAGGGATTTCTTTGATCATTTTCTTTTTTAGAAAAACCAGTGCAAGATGGGAACATAGAGAAAATAAATACTATATTAAAAATTGGGAGACATTTTAACTGACAGAGCAGAAACAATCCTTACATTTTGCTTCTAAAACCAAACCACTTTTAATTCAAAGCAAAATTTCCTTAAACAAAGAAAAGAAGCAGAGAGAAGAGAAAGAAAAACTTCATCTAATAAGTTTTCTCTTTCAAATGTGTCTGAAGCTAAGGAGCCTTGCGGACTTACCAAAGGCTGACAATTTGCCCCAAATCCTGAATTCCTAGATCGTCAAGTCCAAGAGGGCTCTTCTTCTGTGTCCGGCACCCACTCTGACAATTCCGCTGCTGCAGTCGGGATATATAGTCAAGAAATGCATCGTCACGTGTTCAGGGAGGAAAATTTACAACAGAGGTTGCTTGTGGCAGAGTGAGCAGTGAACTCAAAGCACTGCAGTTCAACTCCCTGAACTCTGCAGCTGTGAAAAGAAAAAGACTGGGAAGTGAGAACTGCTCCTCACACCCTGGCCAGAGTTTTCAGGTGGCCACAAAAATGAGGAAAAGAGGAGAAAGGAATGTGCTGCGGTGGAACCACGACCCCAAAGCCCTCTCTCGTTGAAAATTAGTTCCTGCTCCCTCCGCCTCTTGGGGAATAAACATTATGTGGTCTACGGGTTTTCAGCGGCAGTCACATTCCATAATCTGGATGGAAGACATTTGGAAGCAAGTGCAGGATTTACAGTCAAGAAACGAGGTCTTGAGTTTCAGTTCTTCCACTCCTTATGCAAATTTGATAAACTCTTCTTTAATCCTTCCACATCTTATTCCTGACCAGTAAAACTGTCATGTGTGGGGCTTCAGCAGATAGAATGATATGAACCATGTGACCTTTTGAGTCGCTTTCAGCTTACCCATTCTAAGATTTAAGACTGGCTGGTGTAGGTTAGCCCTTTTCAAAATTTCAATTAATTTTATTTATTTTAGAGTTGTGGGGTACCTGTGAGGATTTGCTACATAAGTAAATTGTCCGCAGGTGAGGTTTGAGGGAGCCCTCCTTCACCCTGGTATTGGGCGTGGTACCCAGTGGGTGGTTGTGTGCCCCTAATACCCCCTCCCCCTCTCCCCTTTAGCAGTGCCCAGTGTTCACTGTTCCCACCGTTGTGTTCTTGTGCCCAATGTTTAAGGCCCATTTTTGAGTAAAAATATGTTAGCTCTTCTTTAAAAGCACAGAGAGAGTCTACCTGTCTTTTACATCAAGTTCACACACCTATTTTTTATAATCGTTTGTTTTAATCTTCCAGATTCTTTTTAATGGTGTGCATTGAGTGGAAACATGTTATGGTAAGACAGACTATTGGCAGGTTTGGCTCTGTCCTCCCACACATGGCTTGTCCTCCAAAGCATCATGCAGACACCGTTCGCACATCTCTTTACTGTCTCTGGCAGGTCAGGTGAGGAGCAGGATTCTTCTAAAGAGCAATCGAGCACAGTTCAAGTGTTTAAAACCTAGGGAGACCCTGTGTTAAAATGGCTGCTGCGATCAAAATTGGAAGAGGAATTGCAGACTTTGATGTCAGTGCCTCTGCTCCCTGGGCTGCTTATTCTGAGAGCCTTTCAGTCTACATTGAAGTAAACCGAGAGGGATCTTTTGCCTCCAGTTGTCTGTGGCCTGTGACTGGCAGCCAAACTGCCTCATGGGCCAGCTCTAAGGAAAACATCTGTTGTCGCTCTGCTGTTGTCAAATCGAAGTATGTAACATCCCTCTGACCAGTTGAAATATATATAGCTCAGACACTGGATCTTTTGTTTCTGCAACAGGAACCCACCGGGGTTAGCATCTGACCCTAATACTAATAGGGTACCTGTGGAGAGAGTGGGACGATGAGCATGCACTGCTGTTTTTCACAATAGACAACTCATCTGACGGTTTGGGCTGTGCTCACCCATAAATCCCTGGTTGGCACTGAGGTATCAGTCGTCAACCACTCTGACACATCCATACAATGGAACTTTGCTCAGAGGAACAAAGACATCCTCACAGTTGTGTCAATACTTAAAACGTTCCACAGCTACTTTGTATACCTAAACCTGAATTATACCCCACATCTTTAAAATAAAACAAACTTTTTTTTAAAAAAAGCTTCACAGCTACTTCAGCCATGGCATTCATCATAAGCACTAGAAAACTTCCATCTATATTTAAGCCTACAGTGGTATGTGTGGAACACTAGAACAAGACAGGCCCATGAGAGAGATACCTGTTGACGTGTGTGTGTGTGTGTGTGTGTGTGTGTGTGTGTGTGTGTGTGTGTTTAAGAGACAGAGTATCACTATATTGCCCAGACTGGTCTTGAACTACCTAAGCTCAAGTGATCCTCCTGCCTTGACCTCCCAAAATACTATGATTATAGGTGTGAGCCACTGTACCCGACTGCCTATTGACTATAGATTCTGGTATCGTTGATTAGTACCTTAGGATATATGACATTAGTAACCACCCAGGGATTGTCAAGCACTGATAACTGGAAGCTTTGAGAAGACAGAGGAGGTGGGAAAGAGGGTTACTAGCTTCAAGGAGCAGGAAGTGCAAAGTCTGGGGCCAAACAGAGGCTGAAGTTTCAAATAAAATAAATCCCCAAACCTGAGCCAAAAGTCCCAAGGCAGTAAATTAACCAAGAAAAGACAAGGGTGCGGGGAAAAAAAATTCTAAAATAAAGTTCAAAGATAGAGCAAGTCAGAGCTCTAGGAAGAACTAAATCCATTGCAGGAGTCAGAGAAGAAACGGCACAGAAGAAATTCTACTGGATGCCTGCTTGGAGTCCCTGCTACCCGGGGTCCCCGCTGACTCCCTGCATGGGTGTTTCTTCTACAGATAAACAAACTGATACAAGGAAAGCACTTAGCCCCATGTCTGACAGAATGGGCATGGTCAATTATGCTTTTTGTTGTCATTGTTGAGGGTGTCCTGATTCTACCAAAAGCCTCAGGTTGCTTTCTGTTGTGCAAGTGCTCATCTCCTGATTTTTTAATCACCACCCTTTCTGACACCCCTAGGAACAGAATTTAAGATGTGGGGCTTGCAATCTCAGAACACATATCTTCAGTCTTCTCCCAGCCCTCATTCATGAAAGTATTGTGAGAATGATGGCGGTAAAAAAATCACATAAGTAATAAATCGGGGGAGGGGAGACCATCTAGAAAGTGCATGCTATCAGGAGAGGGTGGAGGTACACGAGAATTATTAATTATATCTACTCTAGGCCATTTATTTCTAGCAATGCTAAAGAAGTAAATCCATTTTACAAATATTTTCTCCTACTCGGTGGCTTCCACTTCCATTTTCTTAATGGTGTCTTTTGAAGAGAAATATTTCTTAATACTGATGTCTAATTTATCAATATTTGTTATGGCTTCTTGAATCCTATCTAAGGAATCTTTGCTTAACCCAAAGTCATGAAGATTTTCTCCTGTTTTTCTTCTAGAAATGTTATAGTTTTAGCTCTTACATTTAGGCTTATGTTCTATGTCAAGGTAATTTTATTCTACAGTGTAAGGTATGGGCCAAGGGTTTTTTTGCTTTTTGTTTTTTGTTTTGCAGATGGATGTCTAATTGTTCTTGTACCATTTGTTGAAAAGACTATACTTTTCCTGCTGAATTGTCTTGAAACCTTTGTCAAATATCAATTAATCTTATATATGCACGTCTATTTCTGAACCCTTTATTCTGTTCCTTTGATCCATCTGTCTAGCCCTGCATTAGCATTATGTCATTTTGAGAAATCCATTTCCAGCTGGCATTTTAAATGAGTCTAAATATGTTGCTGAGTGTCTGTTCACATCAATCCTGTGAAGTCAGGTCAGAATTATTATAACCATTCCATAGATAAGGAAACTGAAGGCCAGAGAGGCTAAGCAAGTTGCTCAAGGTCAAGCCATTACTAGAACAGTCAGGATTTGGCCCCAGGTCTGTGCAACTCCAAAACCCATTCTCTTTTCACTACCCTTTTCTCACTGAATGGGAATCAAGAAAGAAACTGAGAAAGAGTGGGAAGTGAAAGATGGATATTTTTCTAACTCCTTTGAGTCTTCATAAAGTTTTTTTTATGTTAATTCTCTGATAGCCAGATACTCAAACATAAAATGCAAACATGAAATTTCAGATTGTTTCTTCCGAATTCATGTTATTCTAAATATTGGAGACCGCACCAACCTCAGCATGTTCTAGAAGTTAGCAGTGAAGCAGCAACACTCTTACTCTGTATTCATGTTGTCCATAGTACAACCATTTCTTTGCTTATATGTACAGCTGATTTCTGGTCTTCTTGTTTGGATGTGTTGTTTTCTTTTCTTTTCTTTGTTTTGTTTTTTTACTTGATCCTGACACACACTTTCTCTAGAGCTTTGAGTACTTTCATTTCCTGGTAACGTCATTTTTCCCAGATGACCCAGGAGTCCCTTGGCCACACATCTCTGAAATTATGTTAACAGCTTCTGTGACTAAACAGAGTCTGTACTGGGATAACAACACGGCTGTGAATCTCATCAGACTAAACGTAAGTCTGGAGTCCAGAGATCTGACCTAGCTCAGCCTTACCCGAGCTACGTGACTGGCTGGGTTGCATAATTTCCCTGTGTTTTAGTTTAAGCTACCCTCAGGCATATCAAGAGTAGTATCATTAATTGTCTCAAGATCCTCAGAAATGTCCCATAATCCTCAGGCTGTTCCCCTCCTGAGCAGCCCAGGCCGTGGATCTGGCAGAGTATTGCAAAATGAAATCCTCAATGCCCACCACTGATTTTGCTTTTCCCAGAAACTCTATCTGAAAAGTTGTGTCTGGGAAATCGTGCGGTGGGTCATCCCTTCTAATGTCCTGAGTCACCCTCCCTGGTCACATACATGTTAGCATTCCAGGCACTAGGAATAAGACAGGCCTGGGAATCTAACAGGCACTTGATAAGACCCCAGATTCTCCCTATATTATCAGCTAGGTCTCAGGAGGATGTGGCTTGTGCAGGTCCCACTTGTATGTCATCCAAAGGAGGTTAGCATGGAAGAACCCAGAACTCCTAAAATTAAAGAGTAAAACTGGGTAGTGACTCCCCTTTGCTATGTATTATTCAAACATTTTTCTCCTGGTATTTACTTAGCAAATACTTGCGTGGTCCCTAAAGTGCCTCAGGAATTGCTCTAAGCACTTTATAAATTTTATCTTATTTTAATTCTCATGAAAAATTCCATGAGATAGGCTCTATTATTATCCCCATTACACAGATAAGGAAATCAAAGCACAGAGTGGTTAGAGTAGTTGGCCCCAGATGACACGGCTTATATATGGTGGACCTGCATCGGGATCCAGAGCTAAGAAGAGAGAAAAGAAGG